ATTCTTTTTACAAGTTTGCTGAGAATCTCTCTACTGTGTGGTGCTGTCCATTCCCTCTTCGTGGGCCGTGAGAGAGTCTGAGGCTTGCAGGCAGCGGGACTGCTGCTCATGAGAGCATCCCACGCTGTGAGTGAGTGGAAACAATGCCTGGACCAACCTCAGAATAATTGCAGACACCGCCCCGCCTCCAAAGATGCCATTTCTCTCCTGTCAAATTAAGACACACACACACCCCTTCCCTGATAAACAAAACAAAACACACACAAATAAACATTCTCTCTGAAGTTTCCAGTTTGGTCTATGTATTTTCAGTTCACTATTTAGGATAACAGTTGTAGACATCAAGAGTTAAAAGACATTTTCATGGCTGATGTTTCCTTATAAATATATTTATCATAAAGCCCTAGAAAGATATTTCCTCTCTCCCTTTCTTTCTCTGTCTCTTTCTCTCCATCTCATTCTCTCTCTCTCTCTCCCTTTATATTTTTCTACGTCCACCCCTCCATGGATGGTTCTAGCAAGAAATATCTAACAAAAGTAGGCCAGCTGAAGCATTAAACTCCTATTTCCTTCAACCCCTTATTTCTTCATGTCCACAGAACAGCTCCCTAACTTAGAAGTGTTTGTTAAATGTAGAATTGTTGGTTAAATAGTACCACTTTGTTAAGCTGTTCACTTTTAGGAAAGTGTTTCTCATTATGGGGGCCATAATTAAACTTACCTAAGTTGATCTAGAATTAGTTATTCTCCTTCATCGTGATATTAGCAGCAATGTTATGAAAATGACTTGGAATAAACGCAATTTAAAATAAATTAGCAGGGTTGGAGGGTATTTTTGAAGTTTTATGCTTTTTTATTACAAGTGACCTCAAGTAATTTTGCTGCAATCATACTTGTTTTATAGACCAGATAACAAAGAAAAATAAAACCACATTGCTGATCAAATTGATGTCATTTACTAGAAAATGGGAAAGACACTGGTTATTTAATTTTTCCCTTTGAATTTCTAGTAATTACAATTTGAGACATAGTATTAGTCTCCATCAGTGATGGACTTAGTTGAGTTCTATTATTATTGCATCAAGTACATTTATTGTAATCTGCAAGTTAGCTCTTTTCCATAATAATACTTATTAATGATTTACATGTTCTTTATGCACTCAGTGAACAACCAACTTTCTTTTTTGTACTGCTTGATTTACTCCTTTGCAGTCTCCTTTTCCCAGACTTTCCCTTTATACCATCTTAAAAAGAAAGACAGATGGAGGCTGAGCAGGCTGGACCTCATCCATACCCTTAGCTACCCAGTGAACTCATCAGTCTACTACACACTCCCCATTGTTCTCCCTGGATAGCATAACCAAATGGACGAACTACAGTTGGCATAATTCATTTTAGGGCTTTATTTACTTATCTTAAATTTTGATTTGAGAGAGAAAAGCAGGGAGAAGGAGAGAGACAGAAAAGCACTGATGAGAGAGAGAAACATTGGTTGGGCCACTTCCTTATTGCTACCCTTTGGGGACTTAACTCTCAGCCCCACATGTGCTCAGATTTGGAATTGAACAGGCAACCTCTTAGTGCACAGGTCCACACTCAACTAACTGAGTCATACTGGCCACAGCAGGGTTTTTTTGTGTTTGTATGGTTTTTTTTTAATTTTTAATTTTTAATTTTTTTTATGTGTGTGTGAAATTAAAGGGAGTAAAGAAAGGATGAAAAAAATTTAAAAAGAAAAACCCACCAAAAAGAGAACTATCTTCATCAACACTTACCCCAGGGGAGAACAATGAGGATGTTATGTAAGCTTATTGTTATATTAGTTATCACCTCTCTGTAAAATGATAACTTGTTGCATTATTTTATTCCTAATAAAGAATTGAATTATTAATGGAAACTATTCTATGGAGATATCAAGTTAGCCTTTTTCTCTTGCTTCATAGATTTTTGTCTAGTAGAAGCTTGTTGAAGGCACAGCTGTAAGACTCCACAAACAAAGAAATAGAATGACTAGTAACTGATAGTGTGTAGATCTATATATATTGGTTGGGATAAATGAAAATCCCTAAGAACGAGGCGAATGGAAAGAGCACAGAAAGTTAGAAGAGGGAAAATATACCAACATCCACTCTAAATTAGAAAGAGAAATTCCACTGAGGAAGGAAAGCTCCAGAAAACCCCTTTGAGTTTTTTTGGTTCCTTTAAGAGCTTTTGTTTCCCACAAATTCATCATATTTGGGCAAAGAACACCAGGCTCAGTGGTACAGTAGGTATCTGAGTGAGATATAGATGAAAGGAGTTATTTCAGTAACTTCAAGTCCCAACACCAGAATGACTGCCCTTTTCTGGGCATCCCACTTCCTCCTGCCCCTTCTCCTCTTCGTTGTTCAAGGCTTTTCATCCCTCCCTCCGGATATGGATGCCCTCAGGCATTTCTCATTTGAGAGAACTGCAGGACCCCCTGCAACTGGCAAGCAACAACCTCCTACCTAGAATTCGCTCCTTCTTCACCTTTCAGAGCAGAGAGGATTGGGGAGAGATGGAGAGATGCTCAGAGATGCTGGGAACTAAAGCAAACACCAGGGAAGTGTGTGTAGGCTGAGGGCAAAGAAAAAAGCATCCTATGCAGGAGCCCAGCCAAACAGGAGAAACACTGCCTCTCACCACACAGGACATGGTCAGGTCCAGTGTGGGTGCCACTCCTCAGAAAGGAAGTATGGGATTTCTGAGTCAGAAAGGAGGCTAGGAAAGTCACATCTGGGTTACTTCCACCAGGTAACAACATACCCCTACCTCCCCCCCCGACACACACACACACATTTTTATGTCAAAAGATGGGAATTTAGTTGACATAGCTAGCATGTTAAATCTACTAGTTCAGTGTTATTACTTAGTGGTGGACATTTAAATCAATCCTTCTAAATTAAAAAGTGGCTCAAGTTAAAGAAAAAAATCAATAACAGTAAAGGTGACTCATAGGTATGACAGTAGTTAGAAAGGTGAAGTGGGAAGACTAAGTTGCCTGGACCTGAGACATAATCTGTCACACTTAGGGGTGGAGCTATAGCCTTCATAAAGCCAGATTTGATCAGGGAGTGGGAAATAAGTGTTGCTTATGTGATCTTAGACAAGACACTTACCTTAATCCATGCAGGGAGATGTCAAAGAATTGGGCATTTGATCAAAGGGTAGCTATGGAAAACGGAAAGAAGGAAATGACAACAGAGCTGTCAAAAGGAATTGACTGGAAACTAGAGGAAGACAGTGGAGTTGCAGTGGGAAGAAGGGAAGCGAAGATCATGAAGGAGAGTGAGAGAGGGAACTGGCAGATAAAACAAATGTTAACCACATGCCCTTGTATTGGGAGAGCCCCAAGCTTTCTAACAGGCAATACAACCTCGAGACTGCCTGGCAAACGTGTCAATGAGATTCCAGCGCATTTTCACATCATTCCTAAATTCTGTCATGACAGCATCTGGTTGACACCATGGCTAAATACAGTTATTTCTGAATTCATGTCACTCTGCTGTCCATGGATCTTAAAACAAAGAGGTGTCCCATTCCACCGCTGGTGGAGCTGAGTAGCTTCAGGAACATGCAAAGCTGGAGAGTGGAAATTCTCCAAATAAAAATCCCACTTACTTATTCTGAGACCCTGTGTTCAGTGAGAGTCCCTCAGCATCAACATTGGGCATCTAGGAGAGGTGACAGCCCACCAGAACGTTAAGCATCTATAGATGAAGAACAGATAGTCAGCCCTCACCTCCTCTCTTCACCTAGCTCTGCAAGGGAGCAGTCTCATTACCTATTATCTCATCTTATTTTTCCAAACCAGAAATGAAATATCTTCCTTCCCTTCCCTTCCCTTCCCTTCCCTTCCCTTCCCTTTCCTTCCCTTCCCTTCCCTTCCCTTCCCTTCCCTTCCCTTCCCTTCCCTTCCCTTCTTCTCTCTCTCTCTCTCTTTCTCTCTCTCAAAAATTATAAAGGCAGTGTTTATTAAAATACATTTCATTTTCAAAATTGATCTACCAGCTGTTTAAGTATGTATACATTTTGGGGGATTCCAGAGCATTTTCACATCATTCCTAAATTCTGTCATGACAGCTTCTGGTTGACAACCATGGCTAAATACAGTTATTTCTGAATTCATGTCACTCTGCTGTATATATACACCTTTACAAGGTAGGTCCTTAAATCTCTTAAAATATTCACCTGGAGGTCTGACCTAGGACTGGAAATTTCACTTCAAACTAGAACCACAAATGAAAGATAAGCCACACCCATGAAACAATTGTATTTCACAAATCACTTGCATCTATCCCTTGGTTCTTTTGACATCTTGTCAGTGTTATACTTGAATGAAGTAATAACATGTTAACAGTACATATATTTTCTAGACCCCTGCACATGTACACACACACACACACACACACATTATTTTTCTTGTCATATCTATTCAAAGTAGCTTTGTTAGCTTCCATGTGCTTTATTAATTTATGAAATACAATTGTGCTTTTTGATGTTAGTGGAAATTAAATTTAAGAAACACAGGTGTTGATACAGTATGGTTGCTACTCTACTGTCACCTTAACTGCTTCAATAAGTTGGCATCGAAGTTAAATCCTCAGGTATTCTGGAGAATTCTATTCAAGAGCTCAAGAGAGAAACTTCATAATAGTTAACTGGAACCATTGGAATGTGGAAGGACAAAAAGCCATGAAAATGTCTTTTCTTCCTCCTTTAAAAAGAAACATGGGTTATAACACAAATCATTGAGTTATTTGGTCCCATTTCCCCTTCTTAATTCTCTCAGTTACAGAAATTTGCAACTAGAATTGTTTGGCACTGGTTCCTCTCCTGGTTCCATGGGTCACTCCAGGTCTTAGTGAAGAGAAGCAAACTTGTAAATGAATTGCTCTGGAATTTCGGTCTGACTTATGCATTTTCTTTTATTTATTTCATTTTTGCATTGAAAACATTACATTTCTGTTTCCTTATAGAGTAGTGTATCAAGAGCCTGTGTATGGCAATAAATTGCTACAGGTATGAAATCCTGACTGGTGGAAAAAACTCATCACTCTGGTTGTGGGTTTGCTGTGAAATCTTACTAACAAGACCATTCCAGGGAGGGAGATATCTTCTAACATAGGAGGAAAGACTGAACTGAATTTTCCAGTTTTGATGTGAATTCTCCAAGAATGGAGATGATCATCCTCAAATTTCCCCTTTGCTAGATCATGAGTGTATCAAAATGGGGCTCTGGCTTGGCTATAAATTTCTTAAAATGCATCTGGTCTCAATTAATATAAATTCAGTGAAAAGAGGACTTTAGGGTTTCATTGAACCAATTGTCTAAGAAAAATTTTAGTAGGTTCCAGGAGTCATCTGGAATATTTAAATAAGGGAAAAACAAACAAACAAACAAACAAAAAATAACAACAACAAAAAACCTCTTACGCATCTAGTATTGAGGATAGCTAATATATTTCTTCATGGTTTCATTGTGGGCTCTTATAAATTTCTTTCACACCCATTGCTATAGCTTCCAAACCTACCTCTCACTGCCAAAGCAACCCCCAAGGGAACAAATTTGCAGGAAGAAAAGGAGCCCCACATTCATTGGAATATAGATGGTTGAGTCTCCAAATTTGGTCTAAAACCAACATTAAAACTGTCAAATAAAATGAAAGAAGAATGTAATACTAGGGTAATCAGTGGGAGTTTTATTATATGAGTTTTCCTATAACCTGCAATTATCATTTTTGTTCAGTACTAAGTCCATTAAGAAAGTACATTTTTTACTGTGAAAATTAATCATTTTAATAAGTACTCTATTATGAAAAAGGGGTACTTGAGACTAAGAGAGGACACATTAATTAAAACTCCTGACATGAACTTTAGTTTTACCTTTCAAGAAAACTTGCCACATTTCAAAAACAGCTAAATGTATAATGCAGATAAATTAGGAAATAATGATTTATATTTAAGTTTCTCATCTTGCAAATGTCCTTGTAAATGTTGTTTTCAGACATAAAATCTTGAGTTCATTAAATATACACCCATCTACCCGCTTTGCACAAAGTGAGATCCAGGGATATTCTTGGAGAGGAGGAGATGTGTCTGTGATCAAGCCCATCACAGTCTCACCTTTCCCATGTCCCCACCAACACCCCAAGTTTCACCTCCCCCAAGTAATTCATCATTAGGATAGTAGAACATCTTTTTTCCAAAAAGTAGTCTCTAAAGTTAACCATGGGATTCCCTTTGTCAAACTACTTTGCAATGCAGTGGAGATCCATGGTGCTCATTAGCATTGCTTTAAGTTCCACAAATAGGGCAACCACTTCCATAGTGCTTAATTAAGTAATTCCCAAGCCTATCTGATCCAGATACCTTCCCTTCACCTGCTACGATTAGTATCCCAGCAGTACACTTCTGAAAATACTTTATTAGGGCATCACTAGAGATTCCTAATCAGTAACTTCCCCCAAAGGACCTCCAGGGGTTTCAGTAACAAAGGAAAAGTTTTGGACCCCGTGAGCCAGTATCTTAGGAGGCTACATCCATCTGATGGTGGTGGCAGGGGAGGGAGGGGCAATTTATAAGGGCCATTTAAATTTTATGTTTCATATAAGGTCACATTTATATTTTGCTGCTGTCCAGCATGTGAAAAATGAGTATGTCTTATGAGTAGGGAGTGTAGAACGATGTTGTGCTTGTCACCCTTTTTCCCTTGGTAGTGGGAAAAATCTCACTGTCAAGGCTGCATTTTCGTCCTAAGATCTGGGAGGACCAGTTTCAACACGGACACGGTTTGGTGACAGCAAATGGAAGTGAGCTCTCCGTTTTCAGACATTAGCACAGAACCTTGCAGCAGCTCTGGCTATGCTCAGCGAACTGCAAAATATGGAGCAATAAAATTGATGACAGTTACCTGTTAGAAAGGCAAATTAAAGCAATTTGTATTTTTTTGATAATTTTACAGTATTTGCACACAGACACTGAGTTAATACACAACTCTGTTATTCCCCTAATATGGATTTTATACAGACGAAAAACAGTCCAGAAGGCAATGAAGTAGATAGATGTGCAGGTATTAGGCCACCTAACCCTTTTCTTTTCCCAGTTGTTACCTATTTCAGGGATCACATAGACCTGGACTCATGTGGCTATTTATATTAAAATGAACCCAAATTCAGTAAATTACAAATTCAGTTTGTTGTGCTGGCCACATTTCCAGTATTCAGTAGTCACTGACAAGTGGCTACCATATTGTACAGCACAGACACAGGACATTTCCCTCATCACCACATGGTCCACTGGACAGCAAGGAGACCACAGATCAAGGTCAACATCTTCCCACTGGGTCTACAGACTTTAGCAAACCATGGCCTTGATTCTTGAATCTGGAAAGCTTGTAAAAAAGATTCCTAATAAACAAAAATAAGCATTAGGGCTCTGACCACTGGTGCCAGTATTGCATGGAAACACACTCCTATGTTCTCTGAGTGACCAAATCATATTCAGCTATGTAGAGGAAATGTCCTCTTAAAGCTTCATAGAGGAACATGTCTGTTGCGTGGATGGATCCGCGATGTACACATATCCATGTTAGGTTCATACAATAAATATGGGCCTAGTGCTCAGTGAGGTTCATGTTAGTTTCCTTCTGTGTGCACTGCCACAGTTACTTCCACTTACCAGACTCTTTACCTAATTTCATTGACACAAACTACTGCTGAAGTTGAGGGAGATATTCAGAGTTCAAACAAAGAGGATTTGCAAGTGGGACATAGCTAAAAATCTTTGCTGGGACCAAATTCATAGTCACCAAAGCATGACTGACATGGCATTTGATGCAAATATCTTGGCAAGATTTCTTTCTCTCTTTTTTTTTTATTCTGGGAGTGAGAGACAAAAATAACACACACTCACACACACACATGCACACATCTACATGCACACACACACACACACTTTCTCCACTCAAAGCTTTCAGCTGGTTGCAGCTAATGCTTCCTAGCCATCAGCTAGCCTATTCCAGCCCCCCTCCTCCTCCCTTATTAAGTGTACTGCATAGGCCTGCACACCCGTGTGTTTCTGGATGCATCAAGAAAGCCATGGAGACGGACAGGCAAATGAAAAGAATGGCTCCAGAAATCCGGTGACCTCTTTCCCCTCAGCCCACCAGCCTGTCTGAACTTGGTGCTTGTGTGACAACTACTTCTTTGGTTTTACAACTCCTCAGCACATTTAATGAGTTTCCCTGCTCCTAATTAGAGAACATGGTGTTTGGAACACCAGGTGGTGTCTGGCTAAGACCTCATGTTTTGTTTTGTTTTTGTTTTTTACTTTTACATTGTTTTTCAAGGGAGACTTTTTTTCTTTTATCTGGCTCCAAATTATTGCTGACTATCTGTCAGAATGTCTTGGATCTGTCTCCTCCAGGACTGATCCGAAGAACAAACTTGTGCAAGGCTAAACTAGCTTTCTAGAATTGCTGTGTAAGTGATGGCACAATTCCTCTGAAAGTGAGCTGTGGGTGGTAGAAGGTAGAAATAAATTATCGAGACCAGTTTAATCTACATTTTAAAAGATGAGTTTTGAGCTTCCCCATTCATCTGCCTCCTATCCTACTACTTGGTTTTTCCCTATAGGATATGAAGCCAAATGTAACAAATTCCTCTACTCTCAATTCTACTCTTACCCTCTGGCACATCCATGGTCATGCTGTTAAGTGCTGCCTGGACAGAGTTGTCTGTCCTGAGTTGCCCGCAGAGGATTATGGGGCTGCATTCCTATTAGAACCTGAAAGGTCCCTGTCTTATCGGCGGAGCCTGAAGCCTGTTTGTTAATTGTGTTGAGATCATTCTATGGTGGCTGATGTCTCGCCGTGGTTGGCTGAGCAAGACGCTCTGTTATTTTCACAGTTTGATAATCAATGCTCTGCTGAACACATTCCTTTCAAATATGCCCATTTGCTTGTCCTCTGCTTAATTGAACAATTGCAATTACTGGTACATACAACTAAATGTTAATTATTTTTTCAATTTTTTTTCTCTCTTAATGGTTTTATTTACAAATTGGAATCATTTATTATATTTTCCACACCAAATTCCCCATCCGAATCTCTGTGATATCTTTAGCCAAAAAGACAGAATTTTTAAGAAGCATTTACCATTCCTTTTAAAAATAAATATGTAAGATATGGAAAGCTAAGGACTGTCTTCTTTAATTGCTTTATGGTTAAACAACTATATATGCAAGAGATTACTAGTAGCGTGCCTTCTAAGGGGTTTAAAAATAAATAAATATAAAAGACAAAGAGGGTAGTAGTTAACTTATACTGGATTTTTAAGGAAGTAATCAGACTATTTGAATAAAATGTAAATTAATAGTTCACAAGTAAAGGTAAAGTATAATCAGTTTTGAAAATCTGGAAAGTTCAGCAAAGTATCAGTAGTATTTAAATAATTCCCCATAATCCTCCCCATCCCAAGACAATCACTGTTAACTCTTATGCACATACCCTTCAAAGGGTATCTGGGTTCTCCCTTGTGGATACGCTTATACCTGCTAACCTTTAACCTCCGGCCGGGGTTGGTCTACAATCCCCTGTCTGTCTGGTGTGTTTTTTTGTACTTCTGCTCTGACACTAAGCTTTCATTAACCTCCACTTTAGATTGGTAGATATGGGTAACTGCTGTTCTGGTGTGGTTTCACCGTGGAACATCCCTGAATCGGGCTCCTTGGCATGTCTAAGTCCACTTTCTCCTTGTGTTTTAGGGTGGTTATGCTGCATACCGCTACGCCCAGCCTACCCCAGCCACTGCAGCTGCCTACAGTGACAGGTAAGGGTCTTCCTTTTTCTGCTTGACAGCTACTTGGAAATTACCTCAGCTGGTGGGGAGACAAGATCTGTGTCCAGTCTTGAGGCAAATGCATGACATCTGGGTAGGCAGCACCCACCAAGTTAGGTCCCACGTGAGACTACAAAGAGGGCCACTTAGAGACAGGATGGACAGCGAAGCCCAGTTCATTCCTAACTCTTGCCCTCTTTGCTAAGACACAAAGAAAATGGTATGTTTTGTTTGTGTATAGATCTTTCAGCACACCTTGCATGTACATGCACACTCCCTGTGCAACCTTCTTATGGTCTTCTCTGGAAGACCATGGTCGCATCCAGCTCAGATGAAGAAAACAGAAGATGATCCTGCAGGCTTACCCATTTCCCCCTGTTACAACTCTTTACACCCAGGAAACCACTATTTAATCCACCATAAAGGAATGGGGGGAGGCATAGCTGGCATTCCTAAGTAGATTGGTTCTTTTGGCAACATCCAGTGCCCAGTCCTACTAAGACAAGCTGACTTTTGTTTGTAATGCACACCATACCCTAAGACTGGCAGCAGAAGGGACAGAAGTGGGTTTAAAAAATGCATAAGTCATAATGGATGGCGGGGGAGGGTTGGTGTGGAAGAGCTTTATGACCAATTACCCAAGCTTAACAGATGACTCGGTTCCTGAAACGACAAGCCACAGCTATTTCTGTTTAGGTGCCTTGAAAAAAAGAAAGTGTGTGTTTCCATATTGAATGCAACGCGTTGGCTCTGTTTCCTGAGGACATAAATGTGAATGTTCAGATGCTCTGCATGCTCAAATGTCACTGAGGGTGCTTATTTTGGGTAACGACTCCTTTGATTTAAAAATATGTTTCATGAATAAAGCAGTGATGATAACAATTTGCATGTGTGGCTGAGGCATGCTGGGTCAGACAGGTAAGCAAGGAGATGTATTTGATCTTGAATGGGACGTGTCGGCAGCCACTGGTCCTCCTCCCCGGCCTGTTGTGACTGGGTTCCTACCCCTGGGTTTGCTCTGGTGCTTTCTTTCCCTGCAGTTCCATTCCATTCCTCACAGACGTGTTGTGAGCTCATTGTGGCTACAGGGTTCTTCTGAGGTCTAATACAGCAAAGGAAATTGCTGAGCCCTAAGAGGGGCACTTTGAAAACCGCATGCATACACATGTAATAAAATGGCTCTTAGACAAGGTAGAGTTGAGATCTGCCTTCTGCTTGTATGCAGGTATTATTACTATATTCTTGAAAACAACCATAACAAGGCCTCAAGGCTGAAGGGAGTCTCCAAAGAGATTCAAACAATTGGCAAGATTCAGATCCAAATACATAAATTATGCAGTTACCCAATAATCACTTGTTAAGATGCAAAATAGGTTTTATGTAAGTTGCTATCTTTGATACACTTTGACACTGGATTAGGAAAAAGGAGAGGGTCAGTAGGTTAATAAAAACGTTGACAGTCTTGAAGTATTTAAGATTATCCTATAAATGAAAAGGCTTAACACTGTTAAATTCTGCACACCAAAGATTCACAAAGTATCAATGGTAATATGGTTTATCTACAATCCATAATTATTTTTATGAAAATATTTCTAGATACTAAATTCGCAAACACCCACTTTATATGTAATTATAATCATAGTAACTTAAGCCTGCTGTATAATTATAAGAATCTTAAACAGATTTATTTTTGGAGGGATTTTTATCTTGCTTCTCAGTATAAGTGCATCTATCCCCAAGTTGAAAACAAGGTTAATTACAAAGATCTCATTTAAATTGCATTCTTCAATAAGACCAATTTAGACATTAAAAAAAAATAATGTTTAACACTATTCTTAAATAGAATTACTTGAGGATCTGTTCATCTCCATTTGTATTCATCTAAAACTTAAGTTAAACTGTTGTTGCATTTGGGGGCACCATATATGCAAATATGTGCATGAAAACCTGTTATTTTAATTTTATTAAGATTCTCATTGGCAACATGTTTGACTGAAAAATTGTCCTCATCCTTGAATTGGTAAATTTTGAATAACTTTACAATTCCCACTTGAATATAATAGTTTCAGTTGAAGAAACAAACTCAGTGGTAATAGTCTTGTCCATGTAATTGGCCTCTTGCTGTTCATTAAAAAATTTGCACATTAGGTCTTCTTGCTTGCTGTGTAAATTGGTTACCAACCCTATTTAACTGTATTATAAGCAAGACATGTGCCACATATGGAAATATAGCATTGAGGTAAATGCAGTAATAGGTAAATTACCAGAAAACAATCTTTAAAACGTTATTTCTGGTTTGATTTGTAAAGTGTATTTATGAAACAGTGGTCTCCCCTATTTCTTTTTCAAAGAGGTAAGGTGAAGAAAGACCTTTTATAGAAGACACATGTTTGGGGGAAAATTTGAAATTATCAGAATAGCTTTTGAATCTAGATTGAAAATGCCAAGTATTTAGAATTTATCTTAGGGCAGTTGTGTAATATTTTATTTTAACACAATCACAGTGTACTATCAGTAGTGATCGATTCTTCATTCCTGTTCTCTAGAAGATAAAGAGAAAAACTCCTTAACCCAAAGAAACCCTTCCAACATAGGAGCTAAAATCAGCAGGAATCAGAATGTTTTGGTAATGTCCATAATTATCAACCTGTTCCAAAAAGAAACTGCAGCAACCTGCCCTGTAACCATGAGTCTTTTCAGAAGTCTTGAAAGTGAAAGAAGTTGGGTGTCCCCAGTTGGTAGAATTTTACCTTTCATCAGCACAAATTAAGTTTTCATCAAATTAAAAATTCAGGGACTTTTGAAAAATATTGAACTCAGATAACCTCAGGAGTGCCCAGAAGGTCCTTGATGGGCAGCTTGCAACTCTCTGCCTATCATTTTCTTGGTTAAACAATCACATGCTGATTATCTTGGAGCATCCTGAGAGTTTCTGAATGCTGACCTCTAGAATGAAGACCATCTGGTGTGGGCAGAAATTTCCCCAAAAGAAACAGACCTGACTGGACTAGGTAATTTTATAGTCTCCTTGATGCATTTAACAGGAATAGGCAAACATCTTTCCTTGGCATTTAGGAAATATTTGGTAAGCACATGACCTCACCAGATCTTTATTTCCAACCTAACTTTGATTTATGAAAAGCCAACTGTCCAAACTGTCAAAGGAGATTGTCTTCTGAGCTTGAACCAATGAAAGCATGGCAGTGGGGCCGATGGTCATCTGGTCATTGCATGCCACTTGGTGTTGCTGATGTGTCCGTGATATGTTCTGGATTTGACAGGTCCATCATCACATTAGCTCGAGGAATGGCTTGCTTGGATGTAGCCTGTGGGTAGGCTTCTCTCTACGGATTGGCTCTTGGTTTCTTTGTGTATTATGACTTGATGGTTGTTGCATCTTGGAGCAGCCAAACAAGAGGATGGGGTGGGGGAGGAATTTCCTGTTCAATGAATTATGCTGCAAATGTCTGGGGAAATACCTATGGTGTGTACATAGCTTGGATGAAAATGTGAACTCTTCGGAAAGGCAGGTATTTGTCATGCTTGTCCTGCTTGCTGACATCCTAACATCTAACAACCAGTGCATGAGAACGTCCCTCCACATTAGGACTGAAGGGAATTAGATGCAGACCAGCTCGAGAAGAAAGTGATACAAAGTGGTTCACTCAGAAATTTCATAATGATTCCATTGCACTGATAGTTATCAGGGACCCTTACTTCTTTCCTATAAGATGTATTTCCTTTAAGAATCCCTAACATCAGCAGCTTTATACATACAATCAGAGACCTGGCAGTGCAGATGACTCTAGACTGAGCAAAAGAGACAGTAAGCAACTGGGCTTTGTTTCTTTTCTTCCCCTTTCAGTTTGTTTGATTTGTTAGATCTTTGTTTTACTGGCAGTATTAGACTATATTATATGAAATTTCTAGTTTTGTAGGACAAACATGGTGAGATGGCAAGTTCAGCTTAACAGACAATCTAACGAAAATGCCTAATACCAATTTTCTAGCTCTCTGCATTTGAAATATATATGTATATTCATACATATATATGTGTACAACACACACACACATACCTGTGCCTTAGGACCTCAGGAAGGACTCACTAGAGCAGTGGTCAGCAAACCACGGCTCGAGAGCCACATGTGGCTCTTTGGCCCCTTGAGTATGGCTTTTCCGCAAAATACCACGTGCGGGTGCACACGTACAGTGCGATTGAAGGAGTACTCTAATTAGGTTAATAAGAATGTATCTACTTATATAGTTTAAGTTTAAAAAATTTGGCTCTCAAAAGAAATTTTAATCATTGTACTATTGATATTTGGCTCTGTTGACAAATGAGTTTGCCGACCACTGCACTAGAGTAACTAGGTAAATGTTAATAAAATGTGGCCAGGACTGGTCATACTCAGGCTGTAGTCACAAGCCACATGCTACAACACTGTTTAATTCTGATCCTCATAACTCACGAATTAAAGGTGCTGTTTAATTAGTAGTTCGTTTTAAAAACTCAACAGAGATAAAGAGGCATGCCTTTGGGGTCATGGAGAAGCTGGTCTACTATTTTAAATTATATAGGTGATAGAAATAGTTATATATATCTATACATACACACACAGATATGGGTAATGGATAGATAGATAGGATGGGTGGATAGAAAGATAGATAGTTTAAAACATACACAGATTACATAGGTGGCCATGTGGATGAACAGAAATAGAGACAGATAAAAACAAGGAAGGAAGGAAGGAAGGAAGGAAGGAAGGAAGGAAGGAAGGAAGGAAGGAAGGAAGGAAGGAAGGAAGGAAGGAGCAGAAGACCAAATTTCTGCCTTCTTATACTATTTTGTCATTAGCATAACTACAGAAAATAGAACTAAAGCCAACTGTACCTCCTAAGATTGATCTAAACAGAAGAAATAAAGGGATTTGAGTTTACTTTCCTTGAGTGCAGGCCACTCCCTCTGTATTTGAGAACTTATTACCTCCTAT